CCAGGCAGTGTGTCCTGCCTCACAAGCTGCCCGTTCCCTAAGCCTTTCCTTCTGTTCAGTTTTCCATCTCTGCCTCACAGTTCTGCATCCTAGAAAACTTCCTGGACTTTATCCCCAACCTTAAAACATCTTATTTTAGCTATTCTTTTTGTTTGTTTGGTTTCTTTCTTTCTTTCTTTCTTTTTTTTTTTTTTTTTTGAGACAGGGTTTCTCTGTGTAGCTTTGCGCCTTTCCTGGAACTCGCTTTGGAGACCAGGCTGGCCTCGAACTCACAAAGATCCGCCTGCCTCTGCCTCCCGGGTGCTGGAATTAAAGATATATGCCACCACTGCCTGGCCTATTTTAGCTATTCTTAACTTTGTTTTTTCTCATATTCTTTTTTTTTTTGTGGGGGGGGGGAGCTGAATATCGAACCCAGGGTCTTGTGCTTGCTAGGCAAGCGCTCTACCACTGAGTCAAATCCCCAACCCCCATATTCTATAATTTTTCCTTAATGATTATACTTTGTTAGTCTCTTATTTCTCAATGCATATATTTTAGATGGTTTTAGATCATTTGTTCTTGAAAGGCATTTTTTTTAGGCTTTGGGGTGAGAGGGAACAGTGCTCCATGTCCTTTTACTCATTCACTATAAATAAATTGTTCCTTTGTCAGCATTTAAGTTAGGCAAGATGACCTGTTAGTTACTAACAGAACAGAATCTGATGCCCAGCTGGATTTTGGCTGTAACATAAGCTGCAACAACTTGAACGAAGTTTCACTATTCCGTGTGACACTGTTCCCTCACCTGTAAAATGCGGCTGCTGTATGCATTAACATCTTCCTTCTGATTTATTGTCAGTGTGGTTTTATATGGTATATTTCAAAGGCTTGTATTCTCCAGCTTGATTCAGTCTTATGATTTGTACTGCTTTATTATATGATTAAATTGAATTTGTTTATTCTTCCACGTTCTAGAACAACATCTTTTTATTGACTAACTTTACTATTTGGCAGTCTTGGGCACGTATGTGATTAGTTCTGATTCCTCCCTTTCTGTTTTGGTGGAATAAGTCTGTCTGTCTGTCTTTGTTGCTTTTTTTTTTGCTTTGTGTTTATATTTCCTGAGTTAAATATGTATCTCTAGGGCTAAGGATGTAGCTCAGTAGCAGAGCACTCAGCAGAAGTCCTGCCTTCAGTTTTCAGGGCCACACAGAGGAGAAACAGTACTCTGCTTCAGTCCACCTCACCACATTTTGTGACCATAGCACGCCAGGCTATGTCTCCGGTTCTGTGTGAATTTTGACTTCCTTCCATTCATTTTCTTTTCCTTTTCATTTGTGACTATATTATAAATACTTTGGTAAGAGTTTTTGTTTATTCTTTGATTCAAGGTACTACATTGAAATCGATGAATATTTTAGCATTGAGTTTTTGTTATTTAATTTGTGTTGCCTTAAGAACAGAGAATACAACTTTTCCTAACTTAGATTTTCTTTTTTTTCCCAAACACAATAGCATTTTCACTGGGCTCTAAAAAGCTGACCTGTTGTCATAGTTCAAAATCCCAGCACTGGGGAGGCAGAGGGAAGGGGGCCGGCATGTTAGGGTCAAGTTCAACTTCAGCTCAAGTTTGAGGCTAGTCTGCACTATGTGAGACCCTGTCTCAAAACGAAAAAAAAAATCAGACAAAGAAACTGTCATTTTGTCATCATCCCCAGAAGATAAAAAGAAAGCCCATCCTTATGAGGAAAACCTTAAAGTACATTTATTCTACTAAATTTGTTGATATGATTAAAATAACTTGCAGACTATTCTCTTTTTAATGCTTGGGGAGTGGATGTACGTGTGTGCTCGCATGTGTCTGTGTATGTGATTGTATGGGTGTGTATGTAATTGTATGTGTGTATGTGAGTGTGTGTGTATGTGAGTGTGTGTGTGTGTGCATGTGGACTCAGGTTTGTAGAGCCCCATGAACCATCTCAGTTGAACCAAAAACTTTCAAATAAGACTAGTCTAGCCTTACAGTTTGTCCCCGGGATCTCTGCCTCTGCTTCCCTAGGACTACAATTACAGGCACAACGCCACACCCACCTGTCCTTGAAGTGGGTGCTGAGGATTGGAACTCTGGTTTGTTCAGTAAGCGCTTTATCTACTAAGCTGTCTCCCCAGCCCATATTGCTTTCTTCTTCAGGAACAGATAAGGAAAGTATATAAAAGCTTCTCACGGTAACACCAGCTCCCAGCACTGCTCCCAGTCTGCAAGCCTTTCCCGGGCTTTTCTAGAACTGTATCGGCCCATCCTTCCAGCAGCACTGGAAAGCAGCCACCTCATTCCCAAGCCCTGCGGTACCTCCAACTCAGTCACGTCAGATGGGCAGTGTTATCATATCACAGTGTTTCCAAATGCCAGGGTCAGAATGTGAACCACACCCGGGCCTCGGTGCTGTGTGTGCATCTGCAGGTCGCCATTGCCACAGCATGCAGAAAGCATCCACTCAGCCAGCCACACACCACTCGGGCCTAAGACAAAACTCAGAGAAAGCACCAAAGGTGGAAATTATATAAAACACGTTGAATAATCAAAATGTAAGTTGTGCTGGAAATCAGTCTTTAAAATGATAGCTGAAACATTTCTATTTTGAAATTAAGATGTGTTTTTATAATCATGAGCCAAGTTAAAAATCATAATTATTTAACATGCTAGAAAGCATGTTAGCTGCACAATAATAAAAATGTTACATTAAAATCGCAAACATTCATAAGAACATTGCCTGAAATTAGATTTAAATATCTGCATTTTGTACAGTGTGGTAAGGCATTTACTTAGAGGAAATATATGAAATGTATTTCTAAAGCACATTAAAGACAGCCAAACCAAGTTCCTGTCTTATCAGTTACAGAGCATCGTAAGAAACCAATGGAAGAATGAATTCAGAGTGACTGTCAAGAAAATTAAGGTTGAGCAGATCAAAGCTCAAATGTTATTCGATGTTCTTGAAACTAGCAGGAAAAGCCATTCATAGTTTTAAAAACAAGGAATAGGATTCTTTGATGATGATAAAGGAAATTCTCTCAATTGGAATACAGTAGGCTTTACAATAGCAACCAGTCTCCCAAGCTCCAGGGCATAAAGCAGTGAGTGACTTATAGCAAGTCAGCCTTCTTCCACAGGTTAGTTTCACTCGGAAACCCAGCCTGATTGACATTGCTGGTCACAGCACCCGAGGGATCAAGGGCTCTAGAGGGTCTCCCACAGAGAACGCAACAATTAGTCGCCGCATCCTGAAAGTAACACCCCTCACTTCTAGTCACCGCTCATCAGCCAGACTCAGTCTAGGGCTTGTCTAACCCCAGCAGGGCCCCAGAGTGCAAAGCTACCCTAGACATTATGAATAACAAGTTTCAGAAGCTCTGTATCCTTTTATGCTCTGAAGAAGACTGTCACTTCCAGTCCTGGTGGACAGCGTCCCCGTGAGCTGCCGGCTTCCAGCTCCGCCTCCCTGTGGTGGACACAGTGAAGGTCTTTCATGTTGAGTCCTTTCATCTCCAGCTTGTACTCATCGTCTGGCCCATGGGGAGCTCCTCCCTGTGTGATTCTTAGAAGCCAGCTAGGGTGGGGTTTGCATGTAGATTTCTAGTACAACCTGCTGCAAATCCCCTCCAAAACCCCTTCTCCATTTTCCCCCTACTGCCCTCCGATGATGCCTCAAGCCATGTCTTCTGATGCTTTCTCCTGGCTCAGACCATGTACCTTAAGCCTAGGACAAAGAGCTTTTGTCTCTCAGGCGTAACTGCTTGTGCTCTGTGTCTATCTTGATGATGTCCATGTGTTCCCAGCATGTGCAGCAAGTCACATTGTCAGCCTCTCACCAGCTCCCTGCATTGGCCTGTGCAAACAGCAATGTGACTGCTCTACAGAACTTGCTTGGCTCTTTGCTAACTCTGTGTCTTCGCTCTTGCAGGAATGCCTGCTGCCACCAGCTCACATGCCTAAGCGCTAAGCAGCCTCAGAGCCCTGCTCCAGTATCAGTTTTTCTTTTTGCCTCTCTAGAATCTCCTTTCTACCCCTTCCCCCAACTCCAGTCTTGTCTCCTCTCTCTCAATCTCTCTCTCTCTCTCTCTCTCTCTCTCAGAACATTATAGCTTCTTCTGTCACTTAAAATATAATGTGAAAAAGGACTCTGTCCCCACAGTACCTAGTGAGCTGGCTAGTGAGCAAGAAATACATCAAATATTTCCAAAATCAATATAATAAGGTGCATAACGGCTCTCCTCACTGAAATGTGCACAGTCGCCATTTTCAAAAGTGTAATGTGGCCATTTGGATGTGCTCATGCGATGGGTCTTATGTAAAAGTGCCTTGTAGAGACGCCCGTTCAGCAACCCCAACTAAAGACTGTAATGCTGTGATGCTTCCTGTCAATCAGAGGAAGTTGGGAGTAAATTTCTGTGCATGTTTCTAAATTGCCCAGTGGGATCTTTTGCCTATGACCAGTGGTGTGCATTTGTCAGATGACCTGCTGGAAGGAGAAGTGACCCTGGCCACTCCAACTCACAGAAACAGTGCCAGTCTGCACGTGGCAGGGGCCTGAGACGGTGGCCTCATTAATACACCTCTAATGAGCCAAGGTCACCTGGCTGATGGTGACACCAGGGTCACATGCCCCGCTGACTTGAGGAGCTGTGGCTAAGTGGGAGAGAGCATGGTGACCCCAGCTGAGGAAGCTTGAATACTAACACTCAAAAAGCAAAATATTCTCCTGAAATGACATCCAGTGGACAAAAAGAAAAGAAAAAAGAAAATGACCAGTCGTGATTAGAATGTGAGAACCATAGCACAAAGCAAGAACCTGCTCTGAGAATTCTTTTTAATTAGCAAACACACTTGAATGCAATACCCTTGTAATGATCGAATCATTCCATGCATGTTTCCGGATTTTACAGGTACATTATTTTGAAATTGATAATAAACTATAAAAAATAATAATTTTAATTTAAGAAGAACAAATAAGCTTTTATGTTGGAAAAGAGGTAAATGACTTGGGGTTATTTTGATGACAAGATACCAGAAAAGAAGCATGATTCAAACTGTCTTCATAAAGCTTGCTTACTTAACTCCGATGACTTAAACATCACTTCAGGCATGTTTGCTGTGGTGACTCAATATTGCCAGTCTGTGCTCTGGTATGGGAAGACCATCCGAAAGCTTGCTCCTCCCGGAGTCAGCATGTTCCAAGTAGATTCCAAGACTCTCTGCTCACCTTCACTCTCATCTGTAAGGAAGGCCAAACGCCAGTGTCTCTGCGTTTCCAGAGAAATATGACATCTGTGACAATTGCGCCTACCCAGAGGTTTTAGGGCTATGACCAAGGGGAGAGGGGGAATCCTGGTCCAAGCAGCCTCGAACGTGTCACCCACATATGGTGAAGGTGACGAGAAGAAGAGGTGGCTTTCCAAACTCCGTTCTTCAACATTTCTTGGTTATCCAATCTGCAGAGCGAGGAGTCTGCCTCTTCCAACAGACTGTGAAGGGAGACATGGGTATGTGCCATGAGCCAGAAGTGATCAGTCTGAGATGTAGGGATCATCTGATGCTACAGCAAACTCAGCCTATACCAACCCATTTGAGCATCAACTGAAAGTCTGCAGCCAGTGTGGCATCTTAGCCATGACCTGAGACCCATGTTCTAGAGTGAATATGGCACCTCGGCAAAGCTGTGGCCTGAGACCCATGTTCTAGAGTGAATGTGGCACCTAGGCAAAGCTGT